CCCAAATCCATCCACAAAAAAGCATTTACCCTCATTGGTATAAACAGAATGTAATACCATATCGTAAGCGATTTGTTGTTTTCCATTCAACGCTCTACAATGTCGATCCTCAGAACAGTCTAAGTCATCGGGTCCATAATTCATCTCCATATCTATCAGCCTGTTTACCGTATGTGAACGCAAACACTGATCGGGAACAGGCAACACAGGGAAATCTGCTAATGACTTCGAAAATCTCTCCATCAATTTTTCAATATGAATAAGGCACAACTTCTTAATTTCATCCTCCGAAAAATTCAACTGGGGTAAATTCAGCTCTCTACGTAGTGAATGCAAAATGCCTTCACTTAGTAATTCCCAATTCTTTAACCAAAAAGAAGTCACATCAGCCACCTGACAATGAATAAGAATTGTGACAAAAAGTTTTCTAAGTTTATAACCAGAAGCCCAATGCGAAGCTTCTTGTACACAATCATTCCATTCAGAATCTCCTGATAACAGTCCCCGAGCATAACATGCTTTTTGGAATGTCTCATATACCACCCTATTCACTGTTCTAATATCATCATAAGAACAACAACCCCTAAAAACATGCAATAGCATTCGCAAATAGTAACGCTCCTTTGCGAATGGGTAGCAGTAATATAATCTAGCAATGCAGGTACCTTTTTTGCGCTGCCACCACTTCTTGTATTTTTTATTCCATACATAATATTGTGGCATCTCCGCAAAGGTATATTTCCGTGCATCCATTGACTGAAGATTGAGATCCATCCATGCTAACAACATTGAGGTTTGGGAACTGCTAGACTCAACTGCTTCCTCCACGTTAGAATCAACATTTGAATACACTGTATTCTCCCCAGGCAAATGGCAGGACATACGGAGTACTGTTGGAGAGTGAGTGTATATCAAACCTAAAAATTCTCCAACATGCTTCTCCCGATGTGATGTAACAGGCATCCATGAATGCCTTTATCTCATCGATTTGCACAACCGTAGTTCCACGATTCCGACCATCCATACCCGAAGCTGTTTGTTATGCAGCTACAGTGACCATTGCACGATGCTCGGGTTTGTTGATGTACTTAAACAAATATTTAACAGCCCTATAGAAACATCAAATAAAACCAAGTTGTAGATGTTAGATAGGGAAGTAGGAAAAAGTTGTATTACATTTTTTCTTAAATGTGACTTGTATTAAATAAGAAACCAAAGTACAGAGAACAAAAGGCAACAAATGGATCACAATAGCTTATCCAAGGGGCAAAAAAAGTAGAAGGAAAATACAGCAAAAAATATTACAAAAATTACAGAGTTGCGGGAAGAAGTCACACCAATAAGATAACACCAGGTTTATAAAATAAATAAAAAAAGGAGAAATCGCACAAATATTGGTTTGGTTTTTATTCATCTTTGGAAATTAAATCATAATTCATATGCATGCATAAAGTTAATAATGAGTGTAGCATATAAATAGACATATAGCCTGTCATTAAGAATCTGAGTTTGGTAATATAATAAAGGAAACAACAACGTCATATAGATAAATACGATTTACTTCAGCCATACCTTGTCTTGTTACAATATTCAATATTGATATGCGCTCCAAATCGTAGTAACAAATATCGATTGTAGGGTACAACCCATCGATTATCCAGATCAACCCCGCCACAGTTGAAAACTCTACCATTGTTCCGCCGACGATATTTAGCAACCCCAGTTTCATCGATAGTTGTTTGAGAAGAGTATTCCTTGGGGTAATGCTTACTACATTTCCCATTCTTCATGCACACATTATTAGGACGTACTGTACCACACGGGCCATGCATCATTGAACTTGTGACAACTGCATATAGTTCAGGATCAAGATCAGGATCCGGAATTTCAGCACATATTATGGAATCAATAGCCGCAGGACCATGGAATTTATTCTCCGAGGCCAAAAAAAGCAATATGTGTGCATGAGGGAGACCCCGCTTTTGCCATTCAATTGCTTTGACATCTGTACAGCAAGATGCAAATAGTGGAAAAGGAATATTAGTTCAATGAGGTAAGAGAGTAATGGATGAACATTAATAGATAAATAACGAAAGAATAAGCACACATACATGCATTGATTTTCCCAAATATTTGTTTCTCACGAATCTCTAACATAAAGTCATCAAGCTTGATTTTGAAAACTCTGGCGGTGATGTCAGCCCGGTCAGGATCTTTGCCACTGTACCTTCTAATCAAATCAACCATTAACTTATCTCTGGCCAGTTAGAATTGCAAGTGAATGTTATAAACAAATCAGGATAACCAATCCACTTGCAAATAGCCATCGCATCCTGAAAATTTTCATACTTGTATCTTGGACTACCAGTGTGTGAGGCAGCTAAAATAACTGGCTTCCCAGAAAGCTTGATATCACTATCCCCTCGCAAATAAGAATTCAACAAATCCTTGTAGTAGTGTCCTCTTAGCTTCGACTGATGGGTACGCATCCAGTCTAAGCGTTCAGCCTCAATTAACGCAAATGCATTCACCATATATTGTTGAAACAATTTACCAGATAATAACAGAGAATTCGACTCCTGGAGACGGGTTTGAAGACGATATGCATAGAAATCACATTGCGTTATCATTTTATCTCCAACACGGATTTTAGAGCTAATGTGACTATAGCTAATGCAGGGATGCCACCCATCCTCACCATATGGGAATAAAATTGGATATTGTAATGCCATCAGACTTGGATGGTATACGCTAATCCTTTCCATTTCTGAACCCTTCTGTTGAACAATTATATCTGGAGAAAATGATTGCTCTCCTGTTTTATCTACAATCAATGCTGCAATCTCATTCGCAGAGGGCAAATCATATTCTCTACTATTAATTTCACGCTTAGCCAATAGTTTCAGTTGAAGCTCTTGGACACCAGAGTTTTGTATCCTATCTCGCGCAGAACGAAATGTATGTACCAGGATATTATTGTCATCAAACATATGCTGGAGGCCTTCAACAATACACTGGCGCAACGGATTCTTGGCAGGATCAGTGGAGTAAAAGTCCATACGATTCTGGACCTCGTTATCTGAATCGTGAATGTAAAGCTGTGCAAATTTCGGACTATCCCTATCACCAGGAACCAAACATCCTATTCGATGATAAATCTGACCACCGATTGAATATACATAAACTCCACGACCATCATTAATAGAATGATTGATTTTACCTCCGAGAGAAATAAAGCAAAAAAACCCCATTATAGGCTCTGATGTTAGTACGAAAGTGACGCGCTAATGGTGTATCCCCTTCAAGTAGAGTTTTAAGAAATTCGGGCACATCTCTGCGGGGAGGCAATTTCACTTTACCATGTTTGCAACATAAAGGAAATGCAGGCAACACATCATTCCGTGTAGATAAAGTACTCTCGAACCGCCACATAACTGCTCCACAATGTTGACACGTACATGAAAGTGGACCAATATCAAAAAATTCAACCAACGGAAGACCTAGTGAAATAGATAAGTAATATTAATAAATTTTTGTCACGGTAATTCATAAATTGAATGAGTTTGAGAAACTGTCAATCCCATGTACTCGCGCTACAATAAACACAATTATTAAAACAAATGTTTCCTAGGAAAGATAGATTGGTATACTGCTCATTTTAATTAAGAATAACTCAAATTTTAGGAAACACCAGAGTTTGTTCATAACACACAAATTTGCCGTTGACACATCTAAAAACAATCCACTATTTGCATAAGGTCACATGAAGCGTACATCACTAAATTATATACATGACATAAATGGGTACATTATATGTTCTAAGACCAAAATAGGGAACAAAATATGTTGACCAGAACACTAAAACATATATCCAATGTACAAAAATTGATCCAAAATATAGATGAACCATGTCATGTATAACAGTGCCAATTAGAATGGACATACTTTGATTGACTTCTGTAGGAAAGAAACTTCGGCCACGTCTCTTTCTATGCAGATGAATACGTCGAAGTAATCTACTTTGCTTTTGTAATAGAAATCTAAACTGAGGCTCCCAAACTATGAACAACACCAAAACAAATAAGTTGATAAAGAAATCAATAAAGAGTGAACAATACAGAATTGCCTAATATGTAACACTTGCTACAAAATATAGCAAACAACAACCTTGCTGTTCAAAAGGTAAGCCCCTCCTATGAACCTTCTGTTTCAAAATATGATGTCTTCTCTTACGGGCCACTTGGGATAGCATTCGCCGAAGTTGAGAGAGTTGGAATAGTAAGGCAGCTTCTTCTGCAGAATTTAAATATAAAACCATGTATTACTCATTGAATAGATGAACTAATTAGAAAAATTAAAACACAGAGAACACACCTCTCTCAAATGCTTCTTCCTCTTCAGCAGAAAAAACACAACGTTGGTACTGATCTTCAGGATGAATAAAAACTGCTCGATGTTTCCCTAAACAAATGAGATTCAAGGGAAAATATTAATGTCAATTTGCATTGAAACAGTTTCGTGCTAAACCATGACACTCACATGGTACAGACGATCGATAAATCTGTGGTTCGGCAGATGGGATGACATTTTCACTATCCATATTTAATTCTCTAATAACCTGACCCAATCGGAAATATAGGTCATGGTAAATGATGCACCCGTTCCAGTCAACTTTGCAGCTGCCATTCATCTAAATTAATTAATTGTTACAACAGAAGTTGAACTCCTCACCAATCATAAGTTTGTGCGAGTTAATGACACATACAACAGACCACACAAACATAACAGTCGAATAAATCCAAAATGCTCCAACCAAGTTGAAGGCGGCCTATAAATTTAAACAAAAAAACTAAATTCACGTTCTGCAACAGAACAAATTCACGTTCTGGGGCATCAAATGCTACTGAATTAGAAGTTCGAATAATTCCTGGACTCCAGCAAGCATACACAATTTCAAGCATTTACAGTGGCGGTTCAGCTCATCATGTTATCATTCATAGCTATGCAACTTTGTTTACCTAGGACCATTCAAAGTCATCAGAGCTAATGTACAACATTAAAAGAACAGTGATGCTGAAAAGAGGTAACTATCAGGTTATCATGCTCAAGCAAGAAAACAAAGAACCTATAACATACTCAAAGCTCCCGTTACCCTACTCTAATCACCACAAAAAAAGTAAGAAACCAGGAGCTATAACTTACATTGATGTACTGAGGTTTTGGTTTGGAGAAGTAGTAGATCTGAAACTTTAGACTCAGTTCCAATTTCCTCCTAAAGTCTTCAATATCGGCAGCAAAACAATCATATTTTTGATCGGAACAACGTGAAAAGCAAAGAATCAAAAGTAAACGGCAGGAACAGGTTCTCACCTTTGAACAACCGGTCAATGGATCTAAGTTCACTTCCCTTGTGGAAACGCCATTCCCCATCTACCTTGACTTCATCAGGTTGAGCCTTCTACTTCTGAAAGTCTCGCCTCCTCTATTTTGGTTGTTTAGCTACCCAGAAATGTGTGTCTGACATACCATCGCAAAATAGGAATTCAAACAATGTACACCAAATATGATCAAACCAAAATTCACTCGAACTCAAAGGAAACTACAGCAAAGCACGAACAACGGAGAAGTAACAGGTGCGCCGTGAGTAAGTAAATTGTAATGGCAGGAAATTCCACGCAGGAAATTCCACGGAGAAGTAACAGCTGCGACAGTTGAAGTTGAAAACCAAAACCTGCTGTGGTTCTTCCCCTAAGACTTGGCGTACACAGAAACACATACAGTACTGACTTATTAGAGGAAATAGGCAATTAAACCCGCAACCTGTGAAGTGGTATCCTTTGAGACAACTATTGAGCTACCCCGTCTTTTATCGGTTTCTAGGTATTGCACAATCACAATTGTGAGGTCAATAAAGAAGAGGTAATTGAAATGGTTGCGTAGGTATTCAACAATTTGAAAGCAGGCAAACTCATAATTACATGAAACCCTCGAAATGACTTACACAAAGGGAAACCAATCGTCCGTTGATAGGCATTAATTGTAGTCATGAGATTGTCAATTTTACCATATCAACCTCACAACATCAGCTCCTAATCACTTATGAGATGTCTCAAAAGTCAGAACCACTCTCTAGCCCGTTCACTTTTAGCTTTCTAATTCCCAGAGTTTGATTAATTGGGGGGAAAAAATCTTGGCGAGAAGGTTTTCTATTTTTGGTAATACATTCATCATCTTACCTGGTTCATGTCCTTCTGAACCTGCACCATTATAGCAAACACACGTTCGATCCCCAGGCTGACTCCAACAGCAGGGACTTGCTTGGTGCCAAACACGCCGATAAGGTTGTCATAACGCCCACCAGCCGCAATCGAACCAACCTGAAAGGACTAATACATTAGACCAGACTTATTGACAAACAAAATCCCAGATCAAAGTTGGAGTAACAGAACGGCAATGATAATAACGCACTTGTGTAGTTCCTTTGAAGACAGCCTCGTATATGACTCCAGTATAGTAATCAAGCCCTCTGGCAAGGCTCAAGTCAAAAACAACTTTGCTAATGCACTTTGAACGGTCCAAAGCTTCAAAAAGAATATCCAGTTCATCCAGTGCACGTTTAGAAGAAGCAGAGAAGAAAGAAGAAGCAGGGTTCATGGCGGCGGGGGAGACGGTGTTCTTCCGATTTCTCTCCTCAATTACACGATTCAATTTTGTCTTCCCAAACCCTACAAAAGTTTACCGCAAATATGCACCCGAAATCGATCCAGGTCCTCCTTCAGAACCCCAAATTCCCGCCGCCTTCAAACCCTAACATTCGATCCATCGCAGCCCCAAATCGATCCAGGAGGCGCAGGCTTCGCTGGGAGTCACCTTCGACTCCAACTCCAACTGCTTCTTCCCACCTCCGATTCGTCCGAGCGCGATGGTGATTACAGCAGCGGTCCGAAACCTCAACTTCGGCGCAGCAAGGCTACGTCTCCACGACGCCACACCGGACCTCCTTCAAGAGCTGTCCTTGATCCCCGACCACCTTCCTTCCTTCTCCCTTTCACCTTTCCCCCTCTCTCTCTGTAATGTGATTGCAATTGCGATTCCCTTTCCTTGAATTTCTTCTCTCTCTTAATAACAGTAGAAAAGGTGGGCTTATTTAACCAAATAAAAAATAAATGCAACTTAAATGACAACGTGGCCTGGCAGGAGAAAAGGTGGGTAGTGGACAGTTTTTTTGTTCTGAAATCACGCGGGGACTCCTTTTTTTCCCCCGCTTAACACTCTGCCACATCAGCTTCCTAAAATCACTCTATGGCAGGAAAATTTGAATGGGGGTGCAGTTTTACTTTTCAGCCATAAATTATACTGTTGAAACGGGTCCAAATAGTGCCCCGACCCACTAAACGCTCAACCATCGTCGTCTCTCCAAACTTCTCATCAGACTCAACAACTGACTAACCTCATCTACCTCTATTGTTAAGCCAGAGCAATTTTTGAAGGGGTAAATATCGAAATATTGAGTGTTGTTGGTTTGCCCAACGCAAATGGAAAATGTGTTACTAATGTAAACATGCCCAAATAGTTTCCAACCCACTAAATACTCAACCACCAGGTTACTTTCGCTACACCTAATATAAGAGTGCAATGGGAAATGTGTTTCCCCATTACAAAATCCCTGCATCCATAGCAAAAGTAGGAAGAGTAGATTCGTCTTCACAGTCATTTATTATTTTCTTATTCACAGGAAAAATACCTAAGTCATCGGATTTGAATTTTGTCTCTTTGAGAAAAGACAAGAAATATAACCAGTTACACTAAACAAATTTTAAACTTTTTAAATTAAAAACATACAGGAAGCTTAAATATGAAAAATCATTGGAATTTTACATCACAGTTAGCTAAGCCACTAACTCTCCCCTAAATATTTTTTTGGTATTTGATACTTCTATTTTCATACTTTGATTATTTTAATTTGAGTTTAACAATTAATTCTATTTCTCTTTATCTTATAAAAGGAGAATAATTTTAAAATCGCAAGCCTAATGTCATTGGTGCTAATATTGCACATCAGACTTAAATAATATAACTACCAAAAAGCAACAATATTTTTGAACATAGAAGTTTTGAGTGAATATGTGGCACATGTGTCTTTAAGAGAGGGGTAAATATGGAAAGGTCAAGTGATGTTGGTTTGTCGTATGCGGATTGAAAAGCCGCAACTAATGTAAATAGGTCTAAATGGTGTCCCGACCTACGTACTGAACGATCAACCATCGTCGTCTCTCCAAACCTTCCCATCGGACTCGGCAACCGCCTAACCTCCTCCACCTATACTGTTAAGCAAAGCAATTTTCGGAGGGGTATATATGGAAAGATTGAGTGTTCTTGCTTGGAGAGCTGACTGGTGGGTTATTCAGTTTCTTTGACAGTAATGTGTGATCTCTTAACATCAGTTCATTTGGTTGATCTTCTAGGTTGACTTTTGAGTTTATTAAAGATAAACAGTGTCCCGGGCTCCCGTACTACTAAAGGCTCAACCATCACCGTCTCTTCAAACCTTCCCATCGGACTCGACAACCGCCTATCCTCCTCCACCTATATTGTTACACAAAGCAATTTTCGGAGCCGAATTAAACTATTCAAGCTATAATGCTGATCTTCAACATATAAAACATAGTTTATTTTGAGTGAAACAACCTCATGATTGCAAATAAGGTTTTACAATATGATGTTTTGTGATAGTGTTTACTTGCTTCCAGATTTAAAAGTGGGGTTCTAATTACTACAATCTACACATAATATAATAGCATGAAGGAAAAAATCATTCCCCCATTTCAAATTTCCTGCTCCATGAGCGTTTGTAGGAAGAGTATAATAGGGAGTGTCAATTTTTTTCTCTTTCCTCTGTGAAACGAGCCAACTTACCGTACACGTGCGGACTTGAACGGGCCCAGATATTGTTGCGGCTCACAAAAACAGAACAGGTTTCAGCCACGGCCGCATCTGTTTCATGCCTCCATAGCGATCACCATAACCGAGTCTTGAATTGTTCCGATGCTAGATCTGGACTCCACCAACGCCGAGAATAAATGAGATAATTAGAGAAAGAGAGCTTCATAATTGTTAACAAAATAATTTCCCCAATCCTTCTTCCGTGTGCTAATCGCCTAATCCCTTCCCTATGAAAAGAAATCCAAGCATACTAAAAAGATCCAGTCATGCTCATGAAGAAGGGTGATAAATTGCATGCAAGTAAAATTTAAAGATTGAGTCATTTAATCAAATCATAATCAACCACCCCCTTTTCCATCATTTGTAAGCTCTAATAGATAAGTGACAAAGAAATCCACAATATCGTTTCACTGTAACAATACAGTATTATTGAAGATTGATGGCTTTCTCTTCTTCTTCGTTAAACTAGCGTCGAAGATATACAAAGAGGGAGGTTTATACAAGTGATAAGAGAATGGAAGATTAAGAAAGGAAAAATAGAGATCGAGAGGGGGTAGAAATTGACGTTCGGGGGGAGAATGACATGCAGGAAAAAGGTTTGCAAAGCTAAAATTAAGGACAAGAAAACATGGATGGGGAGAAGTGGCTACCGGCGGCTATATAATTGAGATCGAGAGAGAGAGAAGTGAACCATGAGCCGGTGAGCACATAGCAGTTTTTTCTAGGGGATATATGGTTTTCTTTAAGCCCTTTGATTTCTCAGTGTTGGTAAGATATATATGAAAGGGCAAAACAATACTCATTTTTTATTCTATTATTTTATATCTTAGTGGTTAAAATATAATGTATTTTAAAATTATTAAATGGTTCGACCTCGACCAACCTGATTAGTCCAATTTTTATAATTCCAAATATATATTATGTAAATATTTGATATCCTAATGATTAAATATTAGTGTATTTTATAGGGAATTTTTTTATTTGGTTTTCTGGAATTCGATTTCCATAAATTTACTCCACCTCATCATATTACCATAAATAATATTGTTTCACAAGGTAACAGGTACTCGAACTTGGTTCATAAGGCTGATTTTTTTATTCGTTGCATCATCCATGCCTCTTTCCAGCTAAAATTCACTATCTTTATCATGTGTTTCCAAAAAAAAAAAAAAACACAACAATAAACTATACACCCCATTACATTCTCAAATTTCATATCTGACCTTCCTCCGGTCAACTGACCAGGGCTCACACTAGGTTTTTTAAAGCCAGGATAATGGAAGAAGAAGGCGATGAAGAGGAGAGGTAGGAGACGATTTTGGCTCTGCTTATTCGAAATTTTTAGGGCCGGTAAGAGGTGTCGGCTCAACCAAGCCCAAAACAAGCTGAAATTACTTTGCCTGACCTATTTGTCAGTAGGTTTTCAGACTGACGGGCCCAAAATCCACTATCTCAACTTAAAGCTCATTCCAACGTTTGGAAGAGTGTGCTTTCAATCCCAGCCATTAAAATTTTCTGGAGAACCGTCCTCCAAAATTGAAGTAGTGCACCATATCTGGTTCGATGAAGGACGGAGCTGAGAAGTGAGAATGTGATTTCAAAAGTCGAGGGGTCGAGGGTTAGTTAAATACTGGGTAATGTGGTACCTAGGGCTGCAAATGAGCCAAGCTACTCGCGAGCAACTCGAGGTTCGAATCGGGAAAAACTCGTTCGAAACTCGATTCGTTTACTGACGAGCCAAGCTTGAGCCTAGCTATGTTCAGCTCGTGAAGCTCGCGAGCTAGCTCGACTCGGTGGCTTGTTGAGCTCAACTCGTGAGTTAGCTCATTTAGAGCTCATGAGATGTCTCAACATTGTGGTTTGAGGGCCAACTTGATCACTGACTTATGGACTAATCGATCTAATTTGGACTTTCATAATTCATAGGATTGTTAAATTATATATCTCACATCGTGTGAAGTTTAACATGTTGAACATGTAAGAAAATATGCCTTATTTTTAACACTATAAAGAAATTATGTACAAAATTATTTCGATACTATGAAATAACATGATTTGAACTAGTTAAAATTTATTAACTAAACAATATGATACCTAAAAATTATAATATAAGATTAATTAATGTTGAGCATTTGATTATTTTTTTATCACTACATCAATCACATGTACCATACACGACATACAAAATGAATGTATTAAATACGATCTAAGAATTTAGTAAACAAGCCTAACTCGAACTCGACTCGACTCAGCTCGTTAATAAATGGCTCGGGCTCGAGCTCAGCTCATTTGTTAACGAGTCAAGCTCAAGCTGGGGTAAAGCTCGGCTCAGCTCGGCTCATTTGCAGCCCTAGTGGTACCAGACGAGTTCGAGACAAATGATACAATATCCATCCGCTGCCCGTGTCTGGAACTACACTTTCTAGTTTTGGCTAAACCTGACCCGAACTCGATCATTACGGGGTTGCTTGTACTGACCGGTTTGGGTTCGGGCGGATCCCCGATTCACTAGGATTTTCGGCCAACCCTTTCACAACTTGGCATATGAGAGAGATGACTCCACTCCGGTCCAAAGTCCAAAATCTCTCGTATAAAATCTTGTGGTCTTGCGGAGCCCGAATTAGATTCGAATAGCTTCCATTCCATTCCATTCCACCAAAACATGAATCACCAAACCCTCATAAACAGTCACGCCGGATTTGGAGATGCAGTCCGCCTCTGCCATCCTTTGGCCTGACTGCCATTGCCCCATCCCATCCTTTCTCATTGATTTCGGTCTCAGTCCCAAATTCACACCCTCGTCCCTTCCCCTTCCCCTTCCCCGGCGCCGCGAACCCTACAGAAAGCTCTGCTCCCTCACCGCTCCCGCAACCAACAATTGCAGCAAAGAACAGTTGGGCGTATCCCAGAGCAACAGAAGCGGCAGCAGATCGTCTCCACATCGACCTCACTCCTACTCGGTGTTGGACGAATTCCACTCTTCGGCTGGACTTACCGTCTTCGTTAGTCACAACCCGGTAGACGGAACTGAATCACCTGGCGAAGGGAGAGCAACTGTTGACGAGTTCGAGGTCGGGGTGCACACAGCGCTTTGCTCAAACATGTGGTGGCCTGACTTGAGAGCGGCATTCGGGCAGCGAATTAGCTTTGAAGGGATTGTTTCCGCGGCGAGGGTCCTGCTCAGGGATCGGCATTTAGCCCTGCCTCATATGGCGGTGCCTGATATTAGGTACATCGATTGGGTTGAACTTCGTAAGCGTGGTTTCAAAGGTGTGGTTTTTGACAAGGATAACACCATTACCGTACCTTACTCGTTGGCGCTATGGGCACCTCTTGGCCCATCCATGGAGGAGTGTAAATCCGTTTTTGGGAACGATATTGCTGTTTTTAGCAACTCTGCCGGTAAAGTTTGCTAGTAATTTTTCATCTTTTGTTCTTTCTGGAAGAATATTTCTTCTTGCTTATGATGATTCGGTGTTCTTCTGCAATGAACAGGGCTGCGGGAATATGATTACAATGGTTCAAAAGCCAGGGCACTGGAAAGGGCTATTGGAATCAAAGTCGTTAGACATAGTATGTCCTCCTCACTCCTTCTGATTTTCATTCCAATTAACCAAGGGGTTATGTTATATACGAATTTACACAGTTAATAATTATGGCAAGGAGTCAGTCAGCAAGCACTCAGCATTTGTTGTTTACAGCATATATTTTTTTTGTATCCTGTGGTATTGGTATGTTCATCTATGATCTCAAATATATATATAGGAGTAAAGAAACCAGCTGGAACTGCTGAAGAAATCGAAAACCATTTTGGCTGTACATCCTCACAACTTATCATGGTACAAACTACTAGCTTTGTGCACCAATTTGTGCTCTTGTGAAGGGATTTCATGTTTATATGGACTTATGATATTGTTGTTTGTAGGTGGGAGATAGAACGTTCACAGATATTGTTTATGGGAATCGAAACGACTTTCTTACAATATTAACGAAGCCACTAAGTACGGCAGAGGAGCCTTTCATTGTCAGGCAGGTCAGTCGGTTGTTCTATTTTTGATTGTTGAGTTTTATGTTTTTGAAACTCATCAAATGAGAGAGATACATTGTGTCGACAACTATAACCAAAACTTGTTAATATTATATGACTGCAAGGCGGCTCGTTCTAATAGATAATTTTGCACATAAAACGGAAACATAGATAAATTTGTATGGGACTCTGTACCTTCAAGGTAACTTGGAGAACCAATCATCTACTGTAGTGTTTCAATTCCCAAAAGCATGCATTTGCGTATAGGTATCCTCGTCTATTCAACTGGTTCAGTCATAACTTTTGCGTTTAGTACTTTTTATTGAACCCATTTAGTTGGATCCTATGCTTGTCTAGTCTTATTGTCCATTGTGATATTCTAAGACTTTTACATAGCTTTAGCTTAGAAGAAGAGGTTGCTGCTTATTTCATAGAAATTCATGTTAGTTGAGCCAAGCATGGTTTGGCATTGGGTTGAATTTTCCAACATAGGCTGATGAGGACAAGTTTCTCTAAGATGGAGCATGATTCGTTTGTTAGTTGGACTGGATTGTGTATGCCAGAAAGACATGTTGACACAGGAACTTGCTTCATCGAACCAAACAGTAACATCAGTTCAAATGCAGTTCGTATGTAGATTGCGGGATGGAAGAAGTTAACTTCTATATATATAGTTGAAACTTGAAAGAGAGGTGCTGCTTCATGCATACCGTCCAATTTCTCAATCCAATGCTTGTTCACCAAGAAATACTTTTTTGCAGGTGAGGAAATTGGAAATGGCCATTCTAAATTACTGGCTTAGAAGAGGGATCAAGCCAACCGCTCATTATTTGCTACCTGATCCAACTGAGTGTGTGAAAGACAATCCATTGGTTTCCTAAGCCAACAGATATGTAGAACAGTTTTACATCGACCTGTGTCTTAGCAAGTTTGATAGTTGATTTCAATTTTATATTTCATTTATTCCGATGCTATCTTTTCATCGTCAGCAAACGAATGGAAAAGGAAACCTAGATATAGAGATGATGAAATCATTTATGCAGAACTAGAATAATTAGGCAACAAACAAGGAAAGGAATGCATATATTTAGTTTAATCCAACCAGTGAAGTAGTGTTCTCATGGACAGGGAATTCTTGTTAAAATACCAACACATGTAAGCTAACAGTTTCTCTCCATCAGTTCACAACAAAGCAAATTATTGCGACATGCTTGTATGTTGTTACAGCCTCTCAACGTGCTTATACTGAAAACTAGGGATAAGCATTGGGTGGTTTTATGCGATTTTGTGCGACATGTTTATACGTTTAGCCTCTCAACGTGCTTATACTGAAAACTAGGGATAAGCATTAGGTGGTTTTATGCGATTTTGTGCATTTGTAACCCTCTCTTGATTGATTTCATCGAGTTGAATTTTCACTCGAGCTTGATCAACACACAGAGCTTGGGTGATTCGCCCTACTAACGCCTCCATTGCCGCTTCATTGATGTTTACAACCTAATCATCACCATTACCTACCATTGTATCCACCTTCCACGAAGCAACTCAAGAACAAGAGTTGATTCGTTAACTAGTGAAGTTGAAGACTGAAAAGATTATGGGTCACCAATAAATCCCTCACGTGCTTCTACCCCATAATAAACTCATAAAGACCTCTTTCTACTCTCAATCTTGAAAGTATAAAAGAAACCTTCTAATCCCAATTCTTTAGTTATAAGGAAGCAACCAACAAAGAAAGAACTACTCACTGAAATTAAGAACTCTTATACTTTGGAATTTGTAAGAGTTCACAATCGAAGCAAATAGTTCAGCGCAAATAGCTAAGGCAACCTAACGGATTCGACATATCCCGTTCTTGCGCCTCACAAGTGAATCCTGACGACCGCCATGCCGCGCACATTTCTTGTAAGACAGGCCGTGGGAGTAGCCATAAAATAATTTCATATTCCAATATCTTGAATCTTCAAAGTTCAAACTGTTCTTATACCGGGTGCTGGAAAGAAAAAACCAACCTCTCCCCGATCAGAGTTCTCAGTGCTGAAACCCATCAGAATTCAAACAGGATTTAGTGCTTCTTCACTTCAAATAAGCAGCAGCACCTCGAGGTGAAGGAAACCAACTCTCTCTTCCTTTTCTTTTTCTCTGAGTTATCATATCTAAGGAAAAACAAATCTGTTTTATGGTTGAATCTCCACGAATTAGGCGGAGGCAGAGAAGCGCCACAACAGTGAACAGGAGCTGCAAGAGCCGAAGCGTGGCAGGGAAGGAGAAGACTTGGGATTTTTGCTCGATTCGTTGATTCCACCTAAACCGAAGGAAGAGCTTGGTGTGTTTAGACAAGGTTGGGAGAGACCAGCAAATGTCTTCAAAGCAACTGAGACATTTAAAAAGCATGTGGCAAAGCAGGCAAAAGATTATCAGGGCAATAGTAAGCCTTCTCAGCAAGCAAGAGAATCAACTTACAGTATATCATATTGTCACTTGTACTGACGAATAACAACTGAACTGCAGGGCAAGAGCCTGCTCAAGCTGATGCTAGCATGAACCTCAAGATGTGGACATTCTTGTCAATCTGGAATTTGATCAATGAAACCTTTAACTGAAACTTGCTACAGAAGACAGAAACTGATGAAGCATCAAAGGAATTTATTGGAAGTTAGAAATTGATCCAAGTGCAGAGAAAGTTAGAAATTTTATTGCTCACGATTGTGCACATAAATACAGCAAAGACCCAAAAGAGGTTGAGCATGTAATCCTGCTGATGCTTATACAGTATGTGCTAGTTTTCCATCAGGACAAAACAAATGTTCTAGTTGATAACCTTCGACTGCCGTAAGTCGATATGCCATTCCTGCTCAGTGGCTATTGAACTTGCATTTGTTTGTATCGACACAAACTTCACATTCCTTGACATCTCCGGCTACATGACTCAAACAGTAATTGATCCTATCATTCACAACATCCTGCCACAAAAGAGCAGCCAAGAATTCATAAGATGGGAGCCGAGAGATCAACGGAAAATTAGTTACACCATGTCTAAATAAGGCTGCAGGATAAATTTAACATTCATAAAGGAGAGCAATGCTAGACTAGATACCACGAGCAGTTCATGCAAGCCGAGAGGTGCAGTTATGAGATATGGTACGCCAGGGTGTTCTTTTGCAGCTTCAGCAGTTAATGAAGGAATGTCCTTTTAAATGGAAACACGAAGAGTTCTTAAGTACTCTACGAAAACTTGCACCAAACAGATCAATGACCAGTTTACTTTAGTTGCAGAGATATATAACCTGGTGCCAGTGGCGTCCTGGGAAAAGGAAGAACGGGCTGACAACAACACGCTTCGCACCTTGTTGGACACAAATGTCAAACGCGTCTTTGATAGATGGCTCCGCCAGCTCCTACTCACATTGAAGAACTACAACATTATTACAAAGCACCCTCAACCCTACCTTTGACTACTCTACCTTAAAATCTTCCTTCTATGCTTATGTTTATGGCACAGGCAAAGATAAGTTTCCAGTCATTCTAACAGGAACTGCGCTATAAAGGCATTAATGCTTTTTTGGAATGGAAGACAGAACTTACCATGTGAGCCGGCTCCACAATTGGGTATCCTGTTTTATCCTTGAACATAGCCACGAACTCATCTGAAATCACAAACAAGTAATGGAGTCTATAAGCCGATGTCAAAAGAGCAATTATGAATCCCCCAGGGGGGAAAAAATTGAGCAAGCGGAAGAAGTCAATCACAGCTTACTTAGCATGAGATTCGATTCTTTCCGCCGCGATCCATGGTCGACGATGATCACGCCGTCGTCTTCTCCAATCCCATGGGGGTTCTTCTTCCCTGTCCCGCCACTAGAAGTAACCAAGCTCATCCTCACAGCTAAAGACTTTATTTTGGAACGACCCAGTGGAAGTTTCGAGATTTTGGGAACTGGGTTTCTTCCAGCTTCACTCCCAGTCCCCCTTAAACAGCTGAAAAATCGAACCGAATACGTTGAAAAGAAGTCGGAATTCAGTCGAAGAAAAAGAGACAAGAGGCGGTTTCAGATTACCTTTGCGGGGCGTTCGGATGAGATAGGAAAAGCGACTCTAACGACCTCATACTTTCCCTTTTTGTGGTGGTTTACCGGTGAGTTTGGAGAGCAGGAAAGGCTAAAGCGGTCTCGTGTACTGTAAAACTACACTGTGTATGGAAAGGGAAGAAGGATTGTGTCGAACTTTGTTCGGTAATTGGCGGATTTCTTTTATAGAGACAAGACCGGGAGAGAAATGGATGAAGGATTTGTGAAAGATATTTATGGAGAAAAGAATATTGTGGAAAACTGACTTGATTTGGATTGATTGTCCACGGGATTAATATACATAGGGCTGGGAATCCAGACCAAACCGTATGGAAAACCGCGGTCTAGACCGTATCGTATGGTTTGGTCGGGACCGTGAGACCAGAACTATGGTCTGGTCTGGTTTGCGGTCTCCTCCTTTAGTGCATGGTCTGAAGTGGTCTGGACCGCGGTCTACCGCAGTAAACCGTAACAGACCGCGACACTCTACCTACTACATTGGACAAAAATAACACTAAATTGAACCTCCATATGTATATTTGAAGAACAAAGTTAGTTGATTCTTCATCCAGTTGAGAGCCAACAAATTGCAAAAGGATCGCTTATATGTTATCTCCTTATCAAAGTACCACACAAAAATCAGAAAGACTCATAAATAATATTCACAAATAATGTCTAGACTATGGAGTCGATAAAAATTAAACACTACAAAAAAATTTGTTCACCTTGATGAGATAAGGAAAATTATTGAGAGATATGCGACCATCTTAGTGGTTCGAAATTACCTCGACGTCATCAAAAAAGTTATCAACTGGGAGAAGTTTCGGATCACTCGAGAGAGGAGAAAAGCGGTTGCACAAAGAGGAATAGAGAAATAAGGCTATTTGAAAATTGAAAAAACCCACTTCTATCCTCATATTTCTTCTCATTTAATACGATCACAATTTTTTTTGTTTCACTAGCATATTGGTCACTAGATTTTTTTTATAGATACCGGCGAAGGGTTGGAGGGCGAATAAGAGTTAATTTTTTTAACATGGTCTGTCTGGTCCAGACCGTACCGGACCGCACCGCACATGTGTGGTCTGGTCTGGACCGTATAGTATATGGTCTGGTCCATGGTCTGTGTTCCAACCTCTCGGTCTGGACTACAGACCGTATCTATGGTCTGGTCTGGACCGGACCGCACCGTTTCCCACCCCTAAATATACACGTACAGAGAGTCTTGGTAGCAACAGAAAAGTAGTGGAGGTATACAGGTTCCACAAATAGAGGAACAGAAGAGAGGCGGAGGAATGAAGCATAACGGAAACAAATAAAAGAATTAAAAATTCTTTTAATTAATTATCTCTAATACGCCTCAGCAAGACGGTATCAACGACATCGATCTTGGATCGAATAAGGAGGAACCGTGTGGAGGGTAATGACGTGGTGAGTGCATCAGCAAGCTGTTGAGCCGTGGGAATGTAGGTCACACGAGGACGACTATCCTGGACGAGTTGTCGAGCAAAGTGGTAGTCAAGGGCAAGATGCTTCCTCCGAGAGTGAAAATCGGGATTGGAGCTGAACGAAATGGCACCAAGATTATCAAAATGAAGCTTCGGAGGAGACCGGAGTGGTTGTTGGAGCTCGAGAAGCAGATACTGGATCCATTCCAACTCGGCAGCGGCATGGGCGATGGCGCGATATTTCGCTTCAGTACTCTAACGGGCTATCGTTCGCAGCTTTTGCAAGCGCCAAGAGATGAGAGTGGAGCTGATGTGATCTCAATTGGATTAATCTACAAGTGGGAATTGACTGATCAATAAGCCAACTCAACTTATGGGAAGAACTGGGATTTTTGGCTAAGTGTTGAAACTGTTTCGGGTAACTCTCTTTACAAGCATGGTTCTTGCGTTTGGCTTGATGGAAATTGGATTGGAAGGTTTTTTTAAGCTTGCAAGTTTCTTTGCAAATGGGAGTGTCTGGGAGCTCGAGGGAAGGCTGGGAAAAAGTGTCCCTTTCAAACTCGTCAAAACCCCATGGCAACACAGGCAAACTGCTAGGAATCGCCTAAGGCGTGGAGCAGTTGCGGGCAGGCCACTTTGGAGTCCAAATTCACAACAACTGGCTGGGAATCACATTTCAAGGATCATACCACATGAAAGCTTGTACTTTCTAATACAGACTGCAAACGAGGGCCTTGAAGATGGCATCAAAACTGTTTTTTTACTTGCGTTTTAAGTTTTCGTGTTGCATGAGGATTTGGACGGCTTTCGCTTTCCTTGTTTATTTCGGGTTTCCTTTGCGTTTTAGGATGTTTGTAAGTTCTATTTAAGACATACGAAGGTATTGTAATCGGCAGTTGAGAATTGATTGAGATTAAACCCTAAAAACTAAGTCTTCATAGCTAGTTTTTGGTTGAGAGCTTGGCTGAGAAAACCAAGCTTGATTGAGCTCTTGTATCGATCAAAATCGCATTGATCGTTGGCGATCATTGACTTATATTAGTTGAGCCTTCCTCTAGGTGTAGGATTGCACATCGAATTCCATCTTATCTTTCTTCTTCTTCGACAAGTTGTTGAATATTGTGACGAAATTCAGAGCTTGCCTTCCAAGCTCGGGTTTGAGAAAATAAACACCACTCGAGGGTGTTATCAAGTGGTATCCAGAGCTCGGTTCAACGCAGTGAACAGGAAAGAGGACATCGTTGCCGAAGCGACTCATTGGACAAGGTCTAAAGGACTTGTTTCTAGTGATCTTGTTGTTCCACAACGGAAAATAGAGGAAGAGTCCGACGAGCCAAATCAAGAGGGCGAGACTCCAATGACAGCTCAATTCAATATAATGGAGTTCCTACATACTATAACGGCACAGATTGGAGCAATTTTTCAGACGCAATTTGATAAGCTCGAACGCCAGATGGAACAGCAGGGACGTAGGCTTGATGCTCTCTCTGTCTTAGGCGTTGCCGGAAGCAGGGGCTGACCAGGAACAAGAAAATTAGGAGCTTGTGGCTCGGATAGAGGAACTTGAGCAGCATCTGGTGGCGATCAATCCTCGGCAAGGTCGCCAACATCACGAGCATCGTGATTATCAGGGTAGGCCGCCAGAGGCAGAGACGACAATCCCTGCTGGAATTAAAGTGACAATTCCAACTTTTCAGGGAACTCTAAATGTTGCAGCGTACCTTGATTGGGAAAGAAAATTCTTCTGTTCTTTGAGTGCGGCCAATTCACCGTACGACAGAAAGTGGCTCTGGTGACTTACGAATTTTTAAGATACGCAACTTAGTGGTGGAACAACTCCAATTCCGTTGAAGACGAGTGTGCTCGCCTGTAAAGTGTGGGCCTGCAATGGAGGGGCTTGGCGAGCTGGTGAAGAGAAAGAGGCCTGGCGGCCTGCTGGTGGGGAGAAATGTGTCTCTCCTGCAAACCCTTGCTGCTGCGGACAATTGTTGTGGCCACCACCTCTGCACGGAGAAGAAAAATACCTAGATGGGCTGCTGCTGCTTCCACGACGAGTCTGCCTAGAATAGAAGGCCGTGGGAACTGAGGTATGGCGAGCGTGCTCCTTCAAATCAGCCTCATACTCAACAAGAGAATCTAGCAATTCCTCAATGGTGATAACCGTGCCTCTGGCACATACAAAAACTATGAATTGTTTGTAATCTTAGCCTAAGCCACACAGGCACTGAACCACTAAATCGAGATCAGAGACATGCTTATAAACTAAAGCAAGCTTGGTAGCAATAAGTTTCAGATCATTAACATATGTAAGAACATCACGATTGCCTCGATTCGTGCTGGCTAATTTTCCTTTCCGGTATGTCTCTCCATCTTTGTAACTTTCTGGAACTAGAAATGCTCGTGAGGAACTAGAGGGAAGAGTACAGGGATGCCTCTGGTGTGTCCTCATCAATCACTAGCTCACTCTGTCAGTTTCCCATACCTCAGGCTCTGGTGGTAGTTGTCATCTCCTACTCCTCGATTGTCCGCTATCCAATGATAGCTTACCGTTGCTGTTACTGGTAGATCATCGAACAAATCTAAATTGGGATCTAAATCCCTCGAACTCACCTCTTCATTAATCAAAATCAATGGTGCCCTCCCGTCAAGTAGTGCAGACCATTAAGGTGCTACAAACCTCTATTTCAGCTCGAGGTGGACTAGGATGTGTCGGTCCTCGTGATAAAGAAGAGCCATCGTCTCCTTTCTTCTATTGGAGTCCCATCCATTTGGGATATCCTTTCATTTTCCTGCTAAAAAGAAACCAAGTTAATATGGATAATAGGGAATAACCCCACACTTTAAGAGTGTGGTTTCTTTTTTAAACTAATCATATAACTTCTCAAATACATATTGATAGGATATTAATTCCTATACTTCATCTATCATTAAAGCTCATATAAAGATAGTAGGTATTCTTGATCAAAATGTAGAAGTAATATGAATCACATATCTTGAAATTTTTTGAAATCTTTGAAAGCTCCAAGTTATAAGATTAGACGAAGGTCGATAAGTTTGCACTGGTCAAATGACATGCATTTGATCCATCATAGTAATGAAATGGAAACTAACAATTTCCTACTCCCATTTCAATTTCTAATTCTCAATGCATCGACCAATATTTTTTGAAATGTAGCATATCTATAACGTTAAAGCTCAATTTGAAAAGATGCTACGCTAAAATTATGAAAATTTTGGCATGACCTTTTCTAAAAACCACCAATCCATCCAAGCAAACAAACATTGAAGATCACCATAAGCACCATGCAATCTTATTTTTAAGCATATAAGCAACCATCATTCATTCATAAACATCGATTGTGCCTAGCATAAGTCGAAAATTAACTAGAGATTCTCCTACCTATCTTAAGCAATTTTAAACTTTTGAAATCCTCAATAGAAGTCCTAAATCCATTTTTCAAGATCCTAAATTCATCTTAAGATCATGGGTACTGACACGGATTGAAGAAACTTGCAGAAAAATCTGAGAAATTTTGAAAAAACGAAGAGAGAGCGGCAGCGGTGTCGCGACGAGTATGCCTGTCGTGGCTCTTCCAGTGAGAATTTTGGATTTTCTTTGTTTGGTATTTATTTGGTAGGTGATGGGTAGGTTGTACCTTGATTTTGAGAGAAAATTATTCGAGTTTGGGAGGTAAAATTGGTGATTGAAAGTTGAAGTTTTGGGAGAAAATTTGAATCCTATAAAGAAGGGAGAGGATTTCCGGCTAAGAGAGAGAAGGTGAAGTGAGAATGAGGGTTATGTGGGTG